TTTTTTTTTTTTTTTTTTTATAGATTGTATTGTTTCTGGAAGACTCTCTTTGTTTCTCTCTTCTGTAGTCTATTCATTTATATGTATATATCTAGATGTGTGCATCTCTGCGATCCTTCCTCACTGTTGTATGTCTTACTTGCCTTTTTGCTCTGTCTGTTTGTGATTTCAGTGAGCTTCTCTATTTCAAAAAAGTCTACTTTTAGAAGCAGAGCATTTTTAGACGTCTTGAAGGTACCCCCTCCTATCACAGGGAGGCGTAGTGAGCACCATATACCTGCATGCCTCTAACTAGTTACTCCATGAGCATCAATGTTTCCTTATTAGCATTTTGAAATATTCAGCTCATACATGGACTGTGATGTTTGACTCAGTTCTGTGGGGTCTTCGTACAGTGAGAGAGCCTTGCATTTGTGAAGCAGATCCAGGATAAAAGTCTTCTTCTGCTTTCCTTTTCTTTCCTCCATGAGTCTCTTATTTGTCTTTTCTCTGATATGCTGCAACTGAAAATACTTCCTCCACCTAAAAAGCACATATAACATTGAACAGTTTGCTAAGCTATGGGAAAGCCTCTTGTGCGAATTTGTAAGTATTTGAAATGTTTGAAATTATAAAACTGAAGAATGAAGTAGTTCGGAGAAGATGCTGGAAGCACAAGTTCTGGATCTCCTTCTAACTGGCTCTCTTTCTTAACCTTTTTTGTAAGGTTAACCAAATTTATAGTCGATTTGGGTTCTTGAATCTATGCACTGATTCAAGTAATATTGGCTCGTTTAACAAAGGTGCACCAAATAAACTAGAATACCTGGGGTCATTCATTGCTCATCTTCCATTCCATCAGTGGTTTTCTTTCTTTTATTTTTATTAGGTATTGTTTGTGGGTATGTGTGAAAGAGAGAGAGAAAATACATATTTTTCTGTGATTTGCAATTATTCATATTGCATGATTTTATAGTAATAAATCTGTGTACTTGCCAACTTTTCTCAATTGGACCAGGATGTTTCTTTCTTTCACTCCTTAACAAATGAATAATTTGGTTTTGAAGTTTTGAAATGAAAGTGAATCCAGAATGATTCAAGCAAGTTATTCAGTAGACTGGCTCTCACAGAATTTTTATTAATATTTAACCTACATTTTCTCTGCTTTTTGTTATTTGCACTGTTTCATCAATTAAAGTGAAAAATTAATCTCTATTCTCCTTATCATACCCTGTATATATTTTAAAGACTGTTTGAGTTCTCTTTTTTGTTATACTTTGCTCACACTCAATCATGGCATGTGGAAAATGAAGCTTCAGTCAATTAGAGCCTGAAATAATATTCTGAATGTTTTCATTGGGCTTCCTATCTGATCAATAAGCTGTCATTCCACAGAGCAGATTGCTCTGTACACTTGGGAGGAAAAGTAGTTTTCAACCTGGCCTCACTGTACAGTTCAACTAATTTCTATTCATGAAGTTCTACAATTTAAGACYGAAATGCATGAGCATATGGTCAAATATTCTGGGGTGAAAGATAAACTACTGTAATTTAGATGAGAAATTTCTTTGCCATTGCTTGGCACTACTCGAAGTGTGAACTCAGATGTGACATCGCAGGGCAGAGGAATTGAACTGAGAGAAGACTGCCAAAAGTGCTGATGTTGATCAGAATTATCATGGATTTCTTGCAAAGTATTTCAGCCATAGAGTTGTATACTTTGCAGGATATTTTCATTCATTCATTATACTCCAGGTAGGGAAGAGCACTGCAGTTAGTAGTGAGAGTTTGATCTAATTTGGAACATACAGGTAGTGAAGGAGGAGAAGCAAATCAAAAGGGGAGTCCTATTTATCTGCTTTATGAGACATATGTGTAYAAGGGTCTACACACAGAGCTAAACCAGACTACTCTTCATTATGCAGCTRTTTATTGCTTTAAAAGTTGGCGAGTACACCTGGAATGCTTGCAGGAATGCTGAAACTCACTTTCACTGGAATGTTAATCAACTGTAGGATGTGGGGGACACTCAAAACATAGTTCTGTGCATTTAATACTTCACAAAGTATATACTCACAAAGTATATACTTCAATACCAGCATTATCATCTGGACTAACTTTGCTTGTTTATAATGTGTTTCTTTCCTGATGAAAACATAGATGACGTGCTTTGGATAAGTGTTAAAGTGATGAAGTATAGGAAATAATGAAAATGTAATCACACAGGTAGAAAGATAAGTGTTCCGAGATGATTTGTTATGTATCCAGTTAAACTGGTATTCATAATAGCATTCATTCTATTCCTAAAGAATGTAAAGCTCCATTTGAACATCATATTTATTATCTGTGTTGTTTAAGTCAGGAATATTTTTTAGCTTAGAAGGACATTGTCATTAAAAATTCATGATGCACAATAGGTAAAACTGAAAAGATTTTGAAAGGGCTTTTCTCAATTGCCTCCATTTCTATAGGGTGATGTATTTTGGTGAGGGGAGAGGGTCCAGGCATTTCACTTTCCTTCTCTCCTTTATCCTGAGCACTATTATCTGAGCCTTTTGGTGTACGCTACACCTTTCTTGTGCAAAGTTAGAGTGCTAGTCATTATCTCCAGTGTAAGAGACAGAATAGATTAAATTTGGTGGCATCTGATGCCCATCTCTGCGCAATTCCTGAAAAAGCCAGAAAAATCAGCTCAATGTTTCCAATTATTTTAATTCTTAAGCTGTTCTGATTGGCCCAATTTTAATGTGTCTTGAGTCTCTGAAACTTTTCTYTTTTGAGTTGCAGTATCTGTAGCATTGTTTATAATACAATGTGATTTAAAGGTATAAATGTCATTCAGATTTTCCTCATATTTCCTGCAGTGTGAGTTTACCATAGCTGGGTTGCAGCAGTTCCTCTGTGGCCGTTCTCAGGGATCATTTACAGCGTCCACTTGAAGTKTTAGTTCTTAAAGGGCCTAGATGAGAAAGTTTGTCTCTGCATTCTACCCCTGCAGTCATTGGCAATCCCTTCCGACTTTTAATCCCTTTTAGCTATTCCAAATTGTCCTCTGGAGAAAAAAAAACCTTCATCTTTCAGAAACAGGTCCTTATTGGTGAAATATCTCCTTTTTTATTTTTCTAATATCTAATGCTTGTGTTTTCTTTGTAACTAGCTATGTGCTCGTAAGAAAAGGTGAAAAATACAGGAATAAGCCTGGGAGGAAATTTTATTTAAAACTGCAATTCAGGAAACAAAATCTAAAAAAGATGTGAAAAGATGTGATATTTTGCAAAACTGTTGTTACTTTTTTTTTTCMTTTTTTAAATCTCTGTCCTATTTTCACTGTTTTCAGTTTAGTTCCCATTCTGAAGGTAGGAATATGGCAGGAGACCCTGTGTGTATACATGTGTGTAGGTAGTGCTCGAACGAAGAGGCTTGCATTTTATATTAAGCGTTGTTTTCTTAAAACTATTTTCTAGGTCAAACAAACACTGGGTCTAAAAGGTCTGTTTCTCAGAAATCCAAAGCAGGCCTCTCTGGACAGTCATGCTGCTGGTCAGCTCCATCGCAAACATTCCTTTAGCGGCCACATCCTGAGACGCACAGCGAGTGCACCCACCAAAAGCCAGAAGAAAAACAAGAAAGGGTTTCCAGAAATTGCTTTTGACACCAAAGATAACAGCTCTGAAGGGGCCAGCGAAGATCATGAAGTGGAAGACACTTCTCAGCCTCGCTTTGAGCAACTGCCCGAAATTGCTTGTCTGTCACCAGCTTCCAGAGATGGTGCCAATGGGGAGGTACATGGCAGAGGGGTGAAAGGTAAGGCCCATCCTTCCAGCAAAGGTAAAAGCCAAGGTTGTGTTCAAGGGGGTGCTGCTTTCAGTGAACCCATACGGAGGTCAAACAGGGTCCGTCTTCAGGAGCAGCAGAGTGAGAAGCAGAGTATCTTTGCACGCTGCGCCATCAACGGCTCGGGTAGGATTGGAGTAGCCACTAATTGCATGAAATGCATGATTGGGTCCAAGGAAAGCCCAGATCTAGAATGCAAATGGAGTGACCAACCTACCAGGCCTCTTGCTAAAGATATGCATCACCATGATCAGTATAGCAGTATAAGTGGAGAAGAGAGGTTAGAACTAAAAACCTGGGGTATTAAAGATCAGCCAAGGCCACGGTCAGACTTGCAGTCTTGCAGCAGCTCTGGAACTGCCGGTGACCCGATAAGGGGCAGCCAGTCTCTGGTGACCTCAGGGAAGAAAGTTGCTGAACCCAAATGTCATGGAATGAAGGCTCATTCCCGGCAGCGCTGGCAGTGCCAGCCAGGTGGCAAGTATGGCAGCACTGTGAACTTGGTTGCAGCCACCAGTGGCTCCATATCCTCCAGTTCCAGCAGTCTAGAAAGCCTTGGAAGCCCAGAATTCCCCAAGCGCTGGCCTGAAACTTCTCGAAGGCAAGTGGGCACCCTACAGCGGGAAATGAATGCCTTGTTCGTTCAAAAACTGGAGGAAATTCGAAGTAAATCCCCTATATTCTTTACTGGTAAGAACAGACTTTCTTCACCCTTACCTGCCTTAGACTGCATCGTTGCCCCACCTCCTGCACGTCCTCTCTCCTTAGAAGCTTTTGTGTGTTGTTTTGGCATCGAGAATTCTTTTATTTTTTTTTTTTTCTCCTGGTACTGGAAGAGAAACATTTGTGTATGAACATATTTTTTTTTAGATGTGTGTAGTTTAGATGAGTCCTTTCCATGCTTAGCCAACCGTCTCCAGTAGTAAAGCTGTCAATGTTTTTTTTGTTGTTTCCATGCCTTTTTTTCTTTTTTTTTTTTTAAGTGAATGCGATATGATACTAAGTAAACGTTAAGATCCAAACCAGAGCATTAAGGAGAATGTGAGAAAAACATTAAAAAACATATTAGCAAGCAGCATTATTTTATCAATATTTATATTTCATTGAGATACAACCACAACAGAGCTGAAATTAGTTGGACCAGGCTCTTCATCAGAGAAATTGCCATTCAGTGTTAAGGTACTGACATCACTCAGGAATTCCTGGAGGGAATTCTCTGGTCTGACTTATTTGAGAGAACAATCAAGTGCTTCTGAAACGCTTTGATGCTTCTGAAGATATAATCTCTTTTTTAGTAACTGATTCTGAAATGAATCAGCTTTAAATTTCTGATTGAAAAGCAGAATACAAATTTCTGACTGAAATATAGGAATTTAAAGCATTCTACTTACTGAATTGATTTGATCTTACGGTGTGTCTGCAATTCCTGTTTATTTCACTTTTGAAATCTCATTTTTTAACATTCTTTTCCCAAGATGTGTTTTGAGCTTTCAGGAAAACACCAGGGTAAGGAMGGGGAAGAGAAGGAAGAATTTTGCCAATTCCCATGGCTTGAAATTAATCCAAAGCAGCAGAAGCCTTCCTGCACTTTTAGATTATTGGCATGAGGCTTTTCATAAGCTCTGAGTACTGTGACATATGGAGCCCTTTCCCATTATTAGTGCCAGGTCCCCTGCCAGCCCTCTAAATCACTAAATAAATATTGTGATATGCTTGAAATTTGATTAAATCCAACTGACCTCTCAAGCATGGAATCATCAGCCCTTAAAAATAGGGAAGCAGTCCCTTGGACTGGATGCTGATGATCCCGGTGACAAACACTGTGTTTGCAAACCCAGCGTGTTTTCCCTGTAGCCCTGCTATTTTCATGCTTTAGGCCAAGACACCAAGGAAACCAATAACGTTAGCCTGATGCATTTCATAGTTAATGTTCCATTGAAACAAACTGCCAGAATGATGAGATGGGAAACTATAGCCTCCGGTTTGCTCTTTTAATGGCAACATCCTTGCAGCTTCCAGTATTTTGCCTTGTGTTACTGATGACCTAGCCTGGATGGCGACAAGGAGAGTTCATTAGTCTGATCAGCTCTGGACTCCTCCAGACGTTCACACAGGTATTGAGAGGCTGCTGAGGTGAGAATAGTGAACTTGGCTTCCGTACATATGTGCCTTGAGCAATCAAGGAGCGGTCTTCCCTTCTAACACTCCCGCTAGAGGAATACAGGCCACTAAATAGCGTCTCCTTTCCCAGGCTTGCTGTCCCTAGGCTGGGTTTGAAACACTAGTGGTGAAGGGCAAGGCTGAGCAGGCTTTCAGCAGACTTTTGTAAGGTAGGAGGTGGCCCATTGCTTTAGAAAACCTGTGAGAGGGGGAGGGCAGCTCCCTTCCCCTAGTCCTGTGGCTGTGTTGCTTCTCTGTCCTCACAGCTGCRTGGTAATGGAAGCAGGTATCATCTGGAAAGCAACCCAAAAAGAAACCTCTCTGGTTCTGAAGTGGTGCAGCCTGTGGAAGGCTGGTCATTAATTTCAGGGGAGGAGGAATTTTATCTGAGAAGAAAGGGGCTAAAAATGGAAGAAGGGATGCTATTGTGGATTCTTAATCCTTTTACTAGTCATTAAGACTGATCCTGSTCTGTCCATCTGGGTAAAGCTTTTTGCTTTTGTGCAATAATTTACCAGACTGGTCTTACTGGATTGCTAGTCCTCTAGGTGAATATGGGCCATCTGTTTCTATAACAGGCATCTCTTCAAGGGAGGCAGATATATTTATGCGTGATATGACTTCTGAGGCTGTTGTGCCATCTCTCTTGTGGCATGTGTTTTGTCTCGTTTGAGGGGTACGTTGTTATCCTGCTGTGTTGCAGTGTGAACTGCACTGACGGATGCATTTTGGACAACTTCTTAGGGGATAGTTTGAATTGTAGATTTTATATCAGTCTCTGTTTGGCATGAGGGGGGAAAACACTGATATTCTTCAAGCTTATAATACAAGATATATAATACATTGAAAATTAGCAAAAGAAATGTTTTTCTAATGCTATGGCAAAATTAATGCACTTAGTATGAATGCACTGAGTGCATTRTTTGATTAAATAAATACACAAATTCCTAGGATCCTACAAGAAACATGTGGCTATTTCCCTGTGTTTCCCTTCCTTCTCTCCCCCTTAATTTACCCTGTTACCTGCACCTGCCTTCCTGTATTAACTGGAATTTTTCCTCTGTTCTATCCTGTTATTCCACATGCGCACACACTGTCTCTCTAGTTAAGAACTGAAAGGACAAGCAAGTAAAAGGTAACTGTCTCCCGAGTGTCACTGCTTCGAGCAGCTTGTTGCTTGTGTGCCTTTGTTTGCTTCCAGACTTACTAATTCTCTGCTCCTATTCTCTTGTGGCTGCTGCCCAGCTGCTTTGTGGTGCTTTGCTAGTTCTTGAAGCATGTTTGCATTGCGGTTTAGAGGTGTAAAGAGTGGTTCTTTYGGCATGACTGCTTTGGGTCTTAGGGTACATGGTACAAATACTACAGCTGGAGTGTCCTCCTAGTAGCTCTGCTGACTCTTCAGCAAGATCTTGCCAGCCTGGTGTTCGTGGAGGGTGCATCCCTGTACAGTTTATGAAAGATAAATAAAAACATTTTTAGCAAAATAAAGCTACTCTATTAAAAATTTTTGAAAGGCATGTTGTACAAATACAAATCATTTTACTTGTAATCCGTTTTAGAGGTCTTTGCTGCTGCTTTTCTGTGTAACTGCTAATGGGAATAACTTGTATTGGTTGAGCAGTGATTGTAGATGTTCTGACAGGCTGGAGATGGAGGGGCTAAAGCAATCCACAGGGTGCTGGGTAGTGGATGCAGTGGAAGTGCTGAGAAGGGGTACAAGGACAGTAAGAAACTAACTGGTACCATTCTTGAAATCAAGAAAACACGTTGCCAGTAAGCATGGGCTGAGAGTTTTCAAAARCAGCTTGGCTGTTGGATAGCTCAAACTGAACAAGCAGAAATTTTTACTGCCTTTATTGACATTTGAAATCATAAAAGTTGTTTTAAAAACACAACTGATATTTCTACTGCTACATTACAAACAGAAAGATACTGTGTAAGGAATAAATCTGTTTTTCATAAAAATATTTATCTTTGTATCTCTTTTCTTCTTTGTTTCTTTTTCCTCTCTCCTTTACATCTCCCTACTAGGAATCTGCCAGTTCTCAGTACARAAGTCAGTCACTTCTTTACGCAGCCTCGAAACTATCACTGAAGAGCCCAGTATTGCCAATGAAAACCAGCACGCCAGCGTCGTCTTCCCTCTACCCATTCCTCCATACAGTGACTCTGAAGAGGGGTCTGTATCTGATCGTTCCACTGAATCTCAATCAGGAGAAAGTAGCACATCCAACCCAACAGGARAACCTCTGCATTCTAAAGAGCCAAGAACAGATGTGGCTGCAGAAGACCAAGTGCAGGCAACCGCAGCAGCAGCTGACACAAGTGTATTAGTCCAAGAGGATGAAAGGACAGATGTGGCAGGATGTCCCAGAGAAGAAAACGGTGGGACACAGGCAAACAGCAGCGCTGAAGATCATTTTTTTTTGGCAGTGCATCCTCAGCAAGCGTGGCTGGTAGTGGCAGCGGGCCAGACTGCTGACCAAGCTTCTGAGAACCACCAGAGGCAAAATAACCAACCAGGTCACGTATTAACAGACCTGAAAATCAGCACTGAATCCCAAGGCCAAGAGCCTGGTGCAGCAGCTGTCCCTCTGCAGCATAATAGCGTGATCAACAGCACACAGATAGTTTTGCCTCCTGGTGCTTTCCAGAAAGCCCAAGCTGCACAGACTCCAGCTGTTTCTGTTTCTCAAACCAGCTCTTATTTGTTAAGAAGGAAGTCAAAAAGTGCAGGTCACGTGATGTCAGACTCCTCAGCCTTAATAAAAAATCCAAGTAGCCAGTCTCCAGCAGCAGAGGTGTATTTTGATGCTACCCTTAATGACCGGATCTGGAGCAAGCTAGATTGCAGCAATCACCGTGACAGCATGTCTTCCTCTTCCAGCATGTCCTCCAACGACACTGTGATAGATCTCTCTCTTCCCAACCTAGCTCGCAAGAGCCTTCCAGATCTTGGCATCCATCATGAAAACTTTGAGCCCCTTGCTGTTAGAAAGGGTATGCGCCCGCGGTCCGCTACAACATCAGGTAACGAGATGCCAGTGGTGAGCAAGAGCAAGTCCAATCCTAATCTGAGGTCTGGTCAGCTGCCAGAGGATGAGTTGTGCCCCCGACCTCTTGTCAGGCGTACTCAAGATGCGTTTTCATCCATCCCTAGAAGACATACCTGGAGCAGGCTCTACATGGAAAGTCTCAGACAATCTTCTCTCAAGTCCAAAGCACAAGATAAGGTTGGGAACAGCCAGGCAAAATCCAAAAGTCTTGGAGACCTTACCTCTGATGATATCATCTGCACTTTTGAAAGCAAATACCGGAGCATCAGCAAGAGTTTTGTCACTCGRTCAATGCGGGAGCAGCGCCGCTCCTCCAGCCTGAGGTCACCAGTCAAGTCTCAGGATGAGTTGACTGAACAGCTAAAGAAGCTGACAGCCTTTCAGCAGGAAAACGATATCACTTCCCCTACCAGTCTTGATCCGATGGAATCTGAAGAGGAAGGGGAGAGCTTAGGACTCCTTCGCAGGTCTTCATCTCGGAGCCAAAGCAGGGTACGGTACATTGCCAACAGGGCCAAGCAAGCTCAGGAGAGGCAGCGGCTGCAAAGCCTTGGCCAGCTCAGCGGGAGCCCCATTGAGGAGAGAGGAAACCCCGAGGGAGCCTGCAGTGTTGTGAAAGGAGTTTGTGCGGACATCGCATCTCCTACTGCRTTTACATCCCAGCCTAAGGGCGAGGCTGAGTATAACCCTGACACAGAGGTCTTTTTTATGCTGAAATTGTAATTCTGGGAAGCACTGAATACGGTGATGTTTACATTCCTGTCGAGAAAAGATGTAGTGACCTAAGAGGCATAGGATGTCCTCATATGGCCTAGTTCTTCCTGGTCCTCCTTTGATAGTAAAGGTGCTTAAGACCACGGCTCCAAAAGAATAGGTGAATGTTTTACACTTGTCGACAGTCTATCAAAGCAGAACAAGCAAGCAAAATCAATGGCTTGTATTTTTACAAGCTTAATGATCGTCAGATCATTAAAAAAATTCATTTTTTAATATAATTACTGCATTTTTTTCCAGCCTCCAATCTAGCCTCCTTTGCCTGTGACCACTGCTTTGCACTTGCGGTTTAAGCTGTGCAAGGCTCTGTCTCTACTAATTTCAGTGATTGATTCCCACCCTAGGTAAACATCTTTTTGATATTTAACAACAACTAAGGTAAACTTCCTGTAATTAAAACTATGTCCCCTGCTCTGCTTTTTTTTATTTTTTATTTTTTATTTTTTGAAGAATGTGAGGCATCTGAGAGCATCCCTTTTTGGAGACAGCCAAAACTGCAGTATAATTTTTTCCTAAATTAGCAATATATAAATGAAAGTAAATTCCATCTTCTATTGTGAAGTTTTTTCCCCCCAGTGTGACTCTACATTGCCTCACTTTTTCAAGAAGCAAGCTCTCACCATGTTCTAAAACATGGATTTTTTAAAAAACTGTTTGTTTATATTTATAAATATACATATATATGTGTGTGTATGCATGTATATATGTCTGCCCTTATATATGCACACACAGGCACTTAAAATGAACTGTGACCATTCCTTGTTTCAAATTCTAATCTGTGGAAAGGAGAGAGAAAAGGGAATTAATAAATCAAGAAATATCTTCCAACTTCAGCTYCAAAATGGCTAAAAGGTGTGCTAGTCTTTCCTTTGAAACAGAACCACCTATTCTTTATGCTATTTAAACAATGCTGCTGTACATAGCACCTTTTGGACGAATTGTACTTTTTCTGTATTGCACTGCCATACAAAATTTTCAACTATATGTTTAAAGAGATATTTAATTTTTTTTTTAGATAAACATATTTAGAATTAAGTATCAACTTAAAATATTCATTTTTCTTCCCCATTTTTCCCCTTTTTATTTTTGGTTTCCCGCACTTCCAGAATTATTGTATCATTTATTATAGATGCACATTTTATCAATGATGGAGAAGAATGTTTACTATAATACATTTTAAAGAAAAACAGAAGTTTAATTTTATTTTCAGGATGCATAGAGTCCCTTCTGGGAGGATATTTTGCTTTCTGTTTTTAATAATTCTTCTGTGTATAGTGCAAAACCTATAAATCTGTTGTAACACCACCTGACAGTTAAAATAAACATATTTAACCTTCCAACTGTTAACTATTTAACTGTAACGTGTCGCTGTTTTCATGCTGTCTAGAAGTTGGTGGTATGCAAACATGGTTAACTCCATCCTTTCTTGCTTTAAAAATTCCTCACTGGGTAGCATTCAGTTTTACCTTTTGATGAGAAGGCATTGAGATTTTGCAGGGGATGCAGGGGAAGTGTGGAACAGGCAGTTGCAGATGATGCAGCAGACACATAAATTGAGGCTGAGGAGCTGCAGGGACAGGGCACGTGAACTGCAGCCTGGCCACAGGTCAAGCAGCAGTCAGATCTCCTGCAGCAGAACAAGAGTCTTCACCTCTGCAGAAAACTGATGGCACAAAGGCAGCTGCAGCAGGAGGTCAGAAGGARTAACAAGGGCAGCTGAAATCATCGTTCTTCCAAAAAGGTCAGTAATATAGTTAAAAATTACTGAGGTATTTAAGTATTCTTTTACTCTGAAGTAAATCATCCTGATTCAGATATCACAGTCATTCTCAACAACATACATATTTTAGAGCATTGTTTTTCTTCAAAAATAATAATWAAAAAAAAAMCCCTAAACCTTAAAGTTCTTTGCAACTGTTTTTGATGTTTTCTGTTGTAGGGCATGAACCAGAACAAATAAAATGCTGAAAGAGGATATCAAGGGGGAATGCAGCACAGGTATTAAGGTTCTATAAACTCATGAGACCACTTCTTTGACTATATCTCATCCAAAGCTCTGGGCAATAATTCAGTGAAAACTGCATAACAAGCATAGATTGCAAATACCTTCTCTTGTCCTGAGTTCTTCCTAGGAGGACTCAGACTTCTGTTGCATCTGTTTTTTCAGTTTGTTAAACTGTAAGACCAGCAGATCAAGATATCCAAAGTATCCATGGGATTGCTTGGGGTTTATGGCCTATATTCCTTCAACTTAAGGACAGCAATGCTCCTTGATTCTATCTTTAAAAACTGTTTTGCTGCTGCTGAGATACTGTCAACCGCCTGTAGTTAAATTTAGTACTTGATTAGCCCTCATTGGGTGCTAGCTGTGAATAATCATTTACCTAATGTGTGTCTTGTTAAAACCTAGAAAATCTTCATGAAAAACAGCTGGAAACTTCAGCTGATCAGATGGATCTTTTTTATTTTTACTAATCTGCCCTCTCTGCAATCCTTTACCAGATCCTTGAGAATATTCCTATCCTGTAAGAATGTGGAAAAACAAGTCACATTTAAGGTTATGATAGCACCTAGAAATGAATCTATGAACAAATGCAAATGTGTTTGAGAGGAAGAATTTCAATGTCTTATCATAATTTATATTGTCAGAATGTTTTCTCTGACAATGTTTTCTCTGTTTTCTCTGGAGAAGAGAAGGCTCAGAGGGGATATGATCAATATGTATAAGTTCAGGAAGGGAGAATGCAGGGAGGAAGAGGACAAGCTGTTTTCACCGGTGGCCAGCGACAGGACGAGGGGTAATGGCCACAAGCTGAAGCATAAGAAGTTCCATCTCCAGGTGAGGAGGAACTTCTTTACTGTTAGGGTAACAGAGCAGTGGAACAGGCTGCCCAGGGAGGTTGTGGAGTCTCCTTCTCTGGAGGTCTTCAAAACCCGCCTGGATGCCACCCTGTGCCACATGCTGTAGGTGTGCCTGCTTGAGCAGGAAGGTTGGACTAGATGATCTGTAGAGGTCCCTTCCAACCTTAAATATTCTGTGAATCTGTGAATGATTTGCAGCAAGCTCCGAAGTGCATTAAACGTGATCTAAGGACTCCCAAATTGCAGCAAGCTTTGGGTTAAGCCTTTGAACTCTGTCAGGGCAGGTATTGCCACATGCAGTCTGTTCTAAGCATCTTATATTGAACTATGAGCAATTCTCAGCTCCGCAGAGGACAGAGTGTTAATGTTTACTACTGATCTACCCAGCAGCAGATACAGGAAGAGCATTGGGAAGAAGCTGAAGCTGCTCAAGCTGCTGCGTTATCTCCATCTTGGGCCATGTTCCCGGTCAAAGGGGAGGAAAGCTCTGTTCCTTTTTAGGGGCATGTTCTGGGTTCCCCGCAGGGCCGTCTCGGATGGTTTCCTCCACGCTGGCTTCCTCTGAAGGCACCRATCTGCTATTACAGTGCCTTGATATCTATATTTACAGATGACCTGACCCAAATCAGCCAGCTCTCAGGGTTGTCCTTCAGCTTACTTGTGAAGCCAAACTTTTAAATKCAAGGGAGATGGGGATGAAATTTTCACTTATTTCTGTGCCTATATAAAGAGGTCTGTGCAAGCTAGACTAGGTATTTCACGGTTTCCCTTGAAGCTCGGGCCTTCTTTCAGCTCCCTGGAATGATTCTGTGCGTTTGAGCTGGTATTTGATTAACATATAATGGTTCTCGGTTTGGATTTTTTTTTTTTTTTGAGCATTTGTGTACATGTTGTAGTTATCAGTAAGTCCCCCAGCCATCTCCTGAGATGCTTACAGAGCAGAGAAAGTCTTTTCCTCAAGTACTCTARGTATTAAGACAGAGGGGTGCAGGTAGCTAAGACACAGTGCTAGGAAGGGGACTCTCATAAAGCCACATTCAAATGTGTGAGTTCAAATGAATTCAAATGTTCTGCATCTCAATATAACAGCATTCAGCTGCTGAACAAAATCACTTCCATGTGCTGTCTCCTGTCTGGGAGTGCTCCCCTGCCTTCCAAAGCCCTTGGTGCCCTGGAGTGGGCAGTGCTGCAGCCCCTCAGCCCAGCTCCTCCCTCTCGTCCGTCTTTATAGCAGTGGGAAGGAACCCCTGTGAACACTCACACTTCCAGCCTTTGCATGTGCCTGTTCTCCAGTTTCATCTGCTGGTCCCCAGGCCAAACTAGGAGAGGCTAAAGGAGCTGCTGTAGGTGAGACGCTCCCTTGAATTGCTGCTGTTCTTGTTCTAGCTGACCAGGACTAGTCCCCGTGTGCAAYGAGCTGCGTCTCCTTCCTGACTGACAGCTGCTCTTTTCCACTCTCTTGTCTGATATTGATACTTCATTCAGCAAGGGATGCAGAAAAACACTTCGTAAACTGTATTTACAGTTTAAGTTAGTGGGGTTTTTTTTGTTTGTTTTGGTTTTTAAATCTTAGCAATTTTCTTGCTGCAAAACCAACATGAGAAAATGTTCTAGCACTTGCTCAGGGAGCTAATGAATGGGGGTTACGATGGTTGATGTGAGCAGCAGCCAGAGCTCTGTGCCCGCTGAGAGGTACTGCCCTCACCCCGCTGTTCTCTTTAACTGGTTGTGTTTGTCTCTAAATGATTCTAATACTGCATTGCAGTTAGGGGAGGGGATTTGCCTTTACAAAATTTCTTTTTTTCCCCACATAATAGGATCTACTTGTTCTTGAAAATCAACCAAATAGTGTGTTTAAAAAAAAAAAAAAAAAAAAAAAATTTCATGATAATGCAAGCACTTTATTTCCAGTTGATTTCTTTCTTTCTTTCTTTCTTTCTTTCTTTCTTTCTTTCTTTCTTTCTTTCTTTCTTTCTTTCTTTCTTTCTTTCTTTCTTTCTTTCTTTCAGAGGAGGTCACTTGAAATAATAAAACATTTTATTGTATATGCTTAATTTTAAGGATATAAATAGTAATATTATTCAGGTTGTCTGTCAGAGAATAAGCAGTTCCTGAGTGATTTAATCTGGTGATTGTTGACACTTTTATGTACACTGGTAGCTGCTCCAGCTGCCCGGATCATGTGCCGCTCTGCAGTGGTAACAGCAGCTGTGGGTCAGGCTTTGTTCTGCACTGCGGGATGATCTCAAGGATCATTGCAATTCTGAGCGAAGACAGAAACACTTGAGCTTCAACAGCAGCTCCTGTTCGAGCTTCTTTTATCTAATGTCCACACAGCGTGTGCGTCTGGCACCTGAGGTGCCTCTGCTTTGCAGAGAGATGGCTGGAAAAGTCCCTTTATGGGTTTGGGGCTTCCTTTTCGGTGCCAAAGCCTCTTCCTTGTTATTTGTTGTGCCTGGTCTCAGAAGTGACTGTGCTTCCGCTTGAAGACCTCTATTTGATCTGGGATTGTCCAGAATGTCTGTGGAATATCCCAGACATCCTGACAACTTTCCCAGCACGAATCAACCATAAAACTGCCTTTAACTCCTTGCCTTTCATCCCTAGCAGGACGTTCCCTCTAGGTACCAGTTCTTTCTGTACCAATGGCCACAGGTCTTCACTTCATGTTCTGCGTGGTGACCATCATGGTGCTCCTAAGGGGATCAAGCCATGCAGGTGAGAGCAGCGCTTCATCCCCCAGTGCTGGCTGCATCCAAAGGTGTTTCTCCTCTTTCTTGCACTGTATCAGTTCTTGGATCCTTCAATTGTTAGTGCCTGCTAGATTCTGTCTCAGTGTAGGAATTTGGTTTAGATCTGGTTAAGGCCAAAGTCTCCCTGAAAAGGTGGCTGTGTGCAGAGGCAGTACCACAGCAAGCCCCACACAGATGGGGGAAGGACAAGGTCGATTTTTGGCTTGCAAATTTATTTCCTGCAGCCTTTGAGGGATGAGAGTGGGAAGGGATGAGTCCCTTTCCTTTGTGTTCTGTTTTTACAGGCTTTCCCAGAGGATTCTCAYGATAGGTACTTGGCTTCTGAGCAATGTCACTGCCATGGACTTTGGGTCAGTGCAGCCTGACACTTAGGGTCCCTCCAGGAGCTGGTGGTTCTTACAAGGTGGCTGTGAAGAGCTGCATCCAGGGTCGCCGCGGGGGAGCYGGGGCCCTCGGCACAAAGTGTTCTCTTCCAGCAGGCCCTCGGGAAGGAGCGGCTTTCACTGGCTCTAGCGCCTTCTCAAAGCGAGACAAGAGGAGGCCTGTGGGAAGGCTTCCAGCTCCCAGAGAGAGCAGTAGGGAAGAAGGGAAAAACAAGTTTTTGTTTTGCAATAGAGTTCAGCAAAAGACCAGAAAATGCAAAACTGCAGAATGAGTGATGCATAACGAATGATTAYGCTATTGTATTTAATGAAAAACTAAAAGCCTTTGCTTGAGGGAGATTGGCCTTCTGCTTTTAGAGAGTTCTGTCTTTGACTCTAATGTATGTAAACATTCTAGAAAAAAAATCTGCGTGAATTATATGTTGACAAAATTTTGATTATTTCTGCATTTGAGTTGTTCTAATACAGCCGTCCTGAGGTCTGGGTGGGAAGTGAGATATTCTTCTGAATATTATGAGAGGAGGCCAAAGATCAACTCATTCACATGGCAAGCTTTGAACCAGAACAGTGAATAAAAGCAGAGCATGGTTAACCTCAATAATAACACATTTATGAGTGAATCATGGAGTTTTTACCCAAGAGAAAGGTATCAGTATCCATGTTTTACAAATTGGAAGCTGAGAAAGGCAAAAGGAGAAGTAAGGCGAAACAGGGCAGTGGCGGGTTTGGCAGCAGAGCCCTGATGGCTCTGGCCACAATTAAACGCCTGGCCGGTTTGACTGACTTTCCTCTCTCCTCCTTGATGGAGCACAAATCAAAGGCAACACAAGACAGGCTTTTTGATCCCTCTCTCTTCAGAGYCGTCCTTCTTTTTCCTGGTTGTGGTCATGGTCCTTTTGAAGGCTTTAATTTTCCCTCCTTAGAGGAGTGAGAGGGTGGGATACCTGGAATTTTGGTGGGGAGCACAATAGTATTTGATGGAGAAGGATTTCTGTCCCGTGCTTGCTTGTTCTCCTTTTCCTGCTGTGACACAGTAGGGGAAGAGAAAAATAGAAAAGCTAGTAAATGAATTTAATGACCATGAACCTTTTTTTATGGGTGAAGGGAAAGTTTTGCAAGAATTTGGGGGGAATCTTGGTGTGGTGAAGTAGCAGGACAGCTGCCTTTTCATCCTAAGCTGCAGTTCTTCAGAATGGACTCTTCAGTGCGTGAGTGAGAGCCATAATAATGAACTTGCAATTAGGAGCCTCCAAGRTCTAAATTTTGGCTACGTATTTTTCTGTTAGCTTCACGCTAATACTGTGCTGGGAATGGGGAAGAAAATGTGAGAAAATTGCAGAAAATTGCTGTGACTAACGTGCACTATGAGCCTTTGAGTCAAGGATAATCATTCTGTTTATGAAGTTCAATGTGAAACCGTTSATGAAACTGCACTATTAAGGAGCTGTAAATGTAACGAGGTTCCTTTTTGTGGTTGTTTTTTCAGGAGCTAGCAAGAAAGATGATGCTCTGAGTAAGGTATGTCCAAGGATATCGGTGCAGAGGTTGCTTTTAACCTGTAAAGAGCTACAGTATTTGAATGTAGAGATATATTTGTATGAGAAACTTTCTCAAACTTTGGAAGAAAGATGGCACATTTTACTTAAATTCTAACCTACTCTAACATGTAGCTGTTCACCAGGGGCRGGATAATATCTGTTCTAAAGGAGGTGAATGGAATTGTGCAAATGGCCTAGATAGAAATGATTTCTTTCTTGACATTTGTGTAATAGCAAGCCGTAGCTTTTCTGACAATAACATCACTACTTGCACTACCTGTGTTAGGTAACTTGYGACCACAGCTTCAGAGACAAAGCTCGTCCCTCCAATTCCCTTCACTCCAAAGACAAGCTTAAGATATTTGTTCGGGTCAYGCTAGAGCTCAGCTTCTTTTGCAGACCTTGCCGTGGTGCACAAGCTCTCCCACCCTGTCTGGAAATGTAGCTGATGATTTTTGAGGACAGTGAAATGTTTAAAACCACCATGGCTTACAGAATTGGACAATTTTATTGATAAATGTTGTGTTCTGTAGTTTCAAGGTTGGATGATGCCTTTTTTAAACTCCAGCAYTTCATGCAGCAGGAATCCCCGAGTATTTTCCTCTTCATCTCATGTTTGCTGATGTTCTGTGTCTGCAGGAATTGCTCTCTAATGAGGCCCTAATTGGCTGCTGGCTGTTTTGTCTGCAGCATGAATTAATCTCCTTAGAAGACTGTATGCACAGTGCATCTGAAAAAAAATTCGGCAACTTTTAAAGCATTTTCTATTTGGGCAAAGTGTGCCAGCAACAATCAATGAAATACTCATGAGTTATTAACTATTGTTAGGGAACAGCAATGCATGAAGGAGGYAGAGTAGTGGGAAGAGGAACCATTGCAGATTTCAGGGGCAAAATTATCTGTTTTAAAACAAAGGCCCCAGAAGTAGGATGATAAAGTAAACCCAGTGCAGTGGGGCCKCATCTGGGACGTTCAAAACCCAATAATTTGCTCATTTTTGACATGCAGGGCAGTGAYGCGGAAAGGCCAGAAGAGGATCTCCCAACCTTGACTGTCACCACCATCCTGGTAAGGCCGAGTGACGCTGGCAGAGATTATACCTCATTTATCACGTTCCAAACATATATTTGTAGGTACTTTTTCGACTTTGACACTGACACCCCTCTTCATCACATATAATATTTTTAGGGTGCTTGCTCAATAGGGTACAGATACAAGCTTTTTGTACTAAATAGTAGTTTTCTGACGTTTTGTTGGACCAAATGAAACTGGGACTGAGAAGTGATTATCCGTTGCTTCTCTGGAATGAGAATCCAGTTCCCCTGCCGGAGGACTAATGGTGACCCAGGACTGCAGTGAATAATGTCTGAGTTCAGAAATGTTGTCCCCGTGTTGGTGTGAGGACTGATCTTTGGGGAGGGCTTGCTGGGGAGAAAATAAATAAATAAAATGGCTTAATTTTACCCTCAGTTGCACTGGAGACCGTTGAGACTTTGCAGTTTCGTGTGTTTTTGTCTGCACACAGGAAGATCCATATGTCATGGTGAGAAGTACGGAACTGGAGGGCTACTGCATCGATTTGCTGAAAGCACTTGCTTCAGCGCTTCACTTCAGCTATAAGGTGAAGGTAGTGGGTGATGGACAGTACGGAGCCATCTCTGCCAAAGGCAACTGGACAGGGATGATTGGCGAGATCATAAGACAGGTAATTTTTCACTTGTGTGTTTGAGTAACTGCAGCTGTAACAAGGGAGGAACTCTACTGGGAGGCTTGTGGGCCTCAACAGCATCTGCTCAGGGACGAGCTGGGGTCATTCTGTCTTTTTTTTGCATAAAACTGATGACCTGCAAGAGACTTGCAGTTAGTTTTTTTCTTCTTTTCTTGAATTTGTCTTTAGTTTAACCCTTAACCCCTTGAGATGAGCCCATCCCTCACTGGTAGGTGGAAGGATGTTATGGTTTTATTTCAACAGTTCTTAAAAGGCTACATCAATACTCATTGTAAAGCAGACCATGCTAACCTTTCATCACCTTCTTTAAGTTCCAATAATCTCCCTGCATGAACAGATAGAATTSATCCAGGAAAAAGGTCGCATTTTGGCAATTTAACCATAGAAAGAGGAAAAGTTTGTTGATAATCTGCTCTGTACTGCTAGTGTTTGGTCATCTACTRCTATCATTTGATATCAAGCCCTCTCTGCTCCTGTGAATACAGTACCCAGACGCTGCAATCAGAAGGGCCAGAGCGCACAGCCCCAGCTGGCGGCTGTGACACTCTGTTCCTTCATGTGCTGCAGCAAACGAGAAGCTCCACATACTAACTGGCACCCTCCTGCAACCACTGCACAACAGAGCTATTCCCCAGCACAGAGCTCACTGCCTGACACAGCAGCTCTCTGTTGGGCCAGGTTGATACCTGTCCATCCAGCCTGGGAAATATTCCATCGGTGTGATGGAAATCAAGTGCACTGGATGGCGGTTGCTTTTTTCCCTCTCTTGCAGGAAGCAGACATCGCAGTGGCTCCCTTGACAGTCACATCAGCAAGGGAAGAAGTGGTGTCCTTCACCACCCCGTTCCTGCAGACAGGGATTGGAATCCTGCTCCGGAAGGACAGCGTCTCTCAGGAGATGCCTCTTTTCCACTTCCTGGCTCCCTTCAGTAAAGAGACATGGACCGGCCTCTTGTTGGCTTATGTGCTCACGTGCCTCTGCCTTTGTCTTGTTGCCAGGTAAAAATGATTTTTTTTTTTTTTTTAATTTTCTTACCACAGCATTTGCTCAGGTGAACTGTTTTCCTAGTTATAAAGGCATTGCAGCACTAAAGGAGATGCTGGATACATTTTGCAGAGCGGAATCCTCTGGACAGGTCCAGAAGGAGAACTCCAAATGCTTAGTTCATGTCAGATTAAGGCCAGCTCCAAGGGTAACCTGTTATGAAAGAGCAGAGCCGTGTTAGGCAAAGGTTGAGGAAGAAAACAGCTGGCAGAACTGTGGTAGGTTGCAGAGTGCACTTAGGCCAGGGAGCTGAAAAACTTTGTGGGGCTTAAACTGGAACACGGACAAGGGAAGGCAATCCCAGGAAAGAAAAGGTATTTCCAGACTCTATGTTGCTGCAGTCACACTGTAGGATTTTATTTACTCTGTGTCTGACAATAATCCTGTGATTTTTTTCCCCCCCAGACTGAGCCCTTGTGAGTGGAATGAGCCAAAGAAAGAGGAAAACCACTTCACCTTCCTAAACAGCCTCTGGTTTGGAGCAGGAGCACTTGCGTTTCAAGGTGACTGCGGAAGATGGGCGGGGGAGCTGTGTGGTTCTGTGAGACCCCCCCCTGCACCTTGCTGTGCTCTCTAGCAGGGTCCCTTGGCAGAAGACTTACTTTCTAACTGGGACACGTGGCAGCACCAAAACTCCTGCCTTGGGGAGCCTTTTGGCTAACGCCGGCTGGAAGTTGCAGCTGCCTGACTTCAGCTGAGGACTGGCTCTTTGGGGACCATTGCTCTGGGCCRTGTGTGGTGGGATGTGCATTGCACTGGTGCCTGGGCGCGGGAGCTCTGCGAATCTGGCTGCTGACCTGGCTCTGTATCTGGGGGCAGGTTTTGTACAGGAGGAGGGCAAGCTCATGGGGGCTAAGGTTCTGCGTCCTATTGCCTCCTGTCCCCACGCAGGTGTCACCCCGCGTCCCAAAGCGCTCTCCGTGCGCGTCGTTGCTGCCATCTGGTGGCTCTTCACCCTCGCCTTGGTGGCTGCCTACGTCGCCAACTTCACGGCGCTGCTGAGTTCGGGCAGTGAGCAGCTGCCCATCCAGACCTTCGAGGACCTGCTGAAGCAGCGCGAGCTGGAGTTCGGGACGCTGGACGGCTCCTCCACCTACTACTTCTTCAAGGTGCGCGTGTTCCCCGCCTGCTCCCTGACCCGCACCTGGTCGTGCAGCTGCCCCCTCGCCGCAGGCAGCGCTGCTTATGGCAGGGGCAGCAACGGGACGGGTCGTCCTGCACCCCCTCCCTCCCCTTTTCTGCTAACACAGCGCTTAGTCCTGAGGTCCAGAGGGTGAGCAGTAGGTACCCCGACCAAAAGGACTGAATACATTAAGTGTATGTCCACATTTGGTTTGGGGAATATAGGTGGGGGTGTGTGTGTATATATATATATATATGTGTGTGTGTGTGTGTGTGTGTGTGTGTGTGTGTGTGTGAGAAATAATTTATTTTAAATTAATATTTTGAATATATATTTTGGACATAGAGCAGTGCAAAGAGGATAGCACTGATTGAGGTGCTCTGTCCCTGCAGAACTCCAAGAATCCTGTTCACCAGCTGATCTACGAGTACATGGACAAGCGAAGGGACTATGTGCTGGTGAAAACCTACCAGGAGGCCATTCAACGGGTGCTGGAGGGCAAGTTCGCCTTCATCGGCGAGGCCGTGTCACTGGACCTGGCGGCCGCCCGGCACTGCAGCCTCATCCGTGCCCCTGAGCTCATCGGAGCCAGAGGCTTCGGGATCGCCACCCCGAAGGGTCAGTGCTTGGCTCCTGTTGCAGCAGGAATGCCCATGGGATAGCAAGAGGATGAGGGGCGGAGAGGAAGAGAGAGGGATAAAGAGAGGGGGAGAGGGAGGGAGATGGAGGAAAAAAAGAGGGAGAAGGAGACAAGGAGAAGGAGGAAAAAGGGAGAAGGAGAAAAAGAAAGGGGGAGCAAGGGAGGGGGGAAAAGAGGGAGAGCAAGGGGGGGAAAAGGGCGGGAGAAAGGGGGGTGGGGAGAAGGGGGGGAGAAAGGGGGAGGAGAAAGGGAGGAAAAAGGGGAGAGGAAGGGAGGGAGGACGGAAGGCAGGCCTGTGCTCTGTGTTGCAGGCTCTCCGTGGACGCCGCGTCTCTCTGTGGCCGTGCTGCGGCTGCGCGAGGCCGGGCTGCTGGAGCAGCTCCGCTCCAGGTGGTGGCAGAGCCACTGCCGGCAGCAGCCGCGGGAGCGCTGGGCGCCGCTGCCACCACGCGCGCTGGCCGGGCTCTTCGTGGCGCTGGCTGCAGGCCTGGCCTTGGGGGTCGCAGCGGCGCTGCTGGAGCTGTCCCGCCGCAGCCGCCGCGGCGCCACGCATGGACAGGTAGGCGGGAGCTGGGACGGGACAAGGGCCATGGACACAGGGACTGGGCTCAGCTCCTAGGCAGAGTCCCCCACAGCTCAGGGTGCTGCCTGGGTTGGAGAGCCCAGCTGCTGCCCTGCAGCTCCCCCYGTCCTTGCTCAGACACATCTCTAAGGCCTGGTCTAGCCCCCCCACCCCCAAGGTCTGTGTGTCTGTGCTGAGCAGGTACAGCACAGAAGCACTCATCAGTAACAAGGTCCTCCTCAAACATGGCCATTCTCTAACGCTCCGAGCAGCAGAAAGCCACATCTTTACCACCCTCCCCCTCATCGCTTTGGGGTGCTTGTCTGCTGGGCTCCAGCCTGGCCTCTTCTTCTGAGGCCTCTCTTCCCTCCACTTTGTTTTCCAGAGATCGTGCTGCTCCATTTTCATGGATGAGCTCTGCACGCGGTTGCAGATCACAGGGACCACAAGGCCCAGCCCAGAGCCCTCAGCCAAGGCCAGCGCTTAAGCACACTCTGTTCCTGGGCGGTCACAGTCCCGGGCCAGCCCTGCTCTGGTTCTGCAGCCTCTCTGCATTACGGGGATGGCACCAGCAACACCTGCTTTCCCCTGGCTCTACCCTGTTAGCTTTCTAACCTCCCCCGCCAGCACCTTTCTGCACCCACAGTGCCTGCCTGAGAGCGCTGCTTGGCGGAGCTCCCACCAGGGCACATTAACAGCCAGCGGCACAAGCAAGGTGGGTTCATAGTGCAGGTAGCACCTGATGTTATTAGAACATAAGCAGCTCTAGGCAGGACTTTTGGTAGGTTACCATGCAGCCTTTGCTTACTGAGGGCAGGACAGGGCCTTTGAACGCTATTCTAAGCAAGAACAAGCCACTCTCACCTAGGTTAGTTGCCCAGAGACTGTCCTCCACCCTCCTCCTGACCMCAGCCCCCTTTCCCTTGGGAGCTAGGAGACTTCCGAGACAGTTGCAAAGCTTCCAGAATGCAGAACTGAACTGCAGGCTCTTCAGTTAGAGAAGGGAGAGCAGTAGCCAAAGCCCAGGACCAAGTGCTGCCAGGTCACAACCTTGGCTCTTTAGCCTTGGGCTACTGATCATCATCAAGAGAAGTTCCTATGCTTTAGGATGAAGGATAATTTTTGCCCCATTTGGCTGATCCGTAACTTAYGGAAAGGAGTCCTAGTTAAAATCCAACAGGACTATAGCATGACCTTTAGTCATCAATTGGTTAAAAATAAAAACACTGACTTTTTTTTATGTGACTCAAGAGTGGTTTCAACAGTAGTGCATGAATTAAAAAAAAAAAAGACTAGTTGCTGTCAAGGCGTAGTAATAGCTAAAATGACAAAAATAACAGCTCCCTGCAGCTGGCTATTCTTAAATGAATCAGTACAGCATCACTTTAGGTTAATTTCAGTACAGTCAGTGCCCTAACACTGATGACAACTTAGATGTGGTTGCTGCCAAACAGCAGAAGTAGAAAAGTTMAGAGTTCTTCCAAGTGGTGTCCTGATACCTACTATGCTCTCAGATCATGACAGTTCTATTTTACATACAGCTTAAACAACATAGGTCGCCCAGTGGCCCCATCCTCCCTTTAAAAGTTGCCAGGGAAATTACCATGTCAAGTTCTTTCAGCACTTTAAAACCGATTTGGTACAGGACATGGCACTGCCAGCAGAGTAGCCAGAGATGTATAAAAAGGTTTCATTGATGTTTAAATATATTTCTATATGAATGCCTCACAAAACAAAAAATAAAGTATTTTCATCACAAAGACTGCAGCATTAAAATAAACACCAAAATAAATAATGAGTGATATACATATATATTTGAATGTGTATGCTATATAACGAATCATATTGTTGCTTTTTAAGTCACAAAAGCACAATATAAATATGGAATTTCCTGTGAACTCTTTTCCCTGTTGTAATAAAAATACATTCTTTACAGTTAAAGTAAAACTAGTGCAAGTCCATGCTGCTGCTCCTGGTTCACGGGGTTTGCTGGAACTGTATCATTTACATGGCACTTCATACTTAAAAATGACACTGAAAATTTTCCCTCCGAGACGGTCAGCGAGCCAGGAGTTTTTGATAACAGCAAGCTTGAGGCTCTCGCAGTTCAAAGCTGCGTAGTAATTTGTGTGGATAGCTCGTCCCATGCCTTCAATGATAACCAAGTCTGTCGCCCGTTCTCTGACCAGGACAGCCAAACCTTTATCCAGGCGGCTGAAATGAAATAAGAGGTTTGATGTAGAAACAGTCATCCTTCTACATGTTCAAGTGAAGGACAGGCTGTTCAAAGGGCTTTACCATCACCACGGTGTGTGGTAGAACACAGAATTTCTGATGGAGCAGCAGCACAAAGAGAGTTGCGTGTGAAGCCTGCTTTCAAGAGCTTTATTCAGTGCATGCAGAGTTGGGATTTCCCATCAAAAACAGGTAGGTTTGGCTTTCATAAAGAAGCTTAAGTGAAAACATGAAACACACTTTACCTTCAAGTGCAGCCACTAGCTGCTTAAGAAAGTAACACTGTGCAAYTGCTGAAAAGCAAAATACTAAGTACCACGTAGAACAACTTGTAAAGTCTGATTACTACTACAATTCTGTAGCTGGAGCCTGAGGCACCTCTTCACAGAAGAGGAGCCAAGATACTCCAGAGCAAAGTCCTTTTTCCATTAGAGACAAATAACAAAGTAGAGCTTTACCAACATACCTTAGATCCAGACATGGAGAACTTGAACCTGTCTGGACCAACATCAGCTTCTCTTCCCTCAAGGCAGATCTTTAAGCAAAGAAACAAACCACCATTAAATTGCTGCCACAGCAAGGTCACAGAAAGCTGACTGAGCCAGACAATTTGGACAGCGAACATTTTGGTGTTCTTGCAAAGTCATCTTGTTCTGCCAGGACTTCAGCCACAAGTGAAGCACATACCCAGGGTGTGGGTAAGTCAACAGATTTAGTCAGCTATTTATCTTCTGCAGGATACAGAAGGTGCAGGGAAGGCACAGACAATAAAAATATCATATGCTTCTAATTACAAAAGTTCAAGAAAATGCCGATTTCTCAATGCTTCACCTTAATGAGAACAGCAGCAAATCACCTCAAAATCTTACATTCAGGTTGCAGATTTCAGACACTAATGAACAATTAAATCCAAACCTCATATAAAACAAGAGGCTTGCTTTTTCTATATATTTGTAAAATACAAACTTGAGACCAGTTACATACTTACTGAATGACTGGATCCATTGCAGCTATTCTCTCAGTAACAATCAGGGATTCACTGTAGGTGACATCATTTAGGGCAGGGCCAGAGTTGCAAGCCAATATAACCTAAAGCAAAATGTTAAAATATTTCCCTGATCAATGCAGGYCAAGAGCTGTTTAAGATCACCATCTCCCTTTCCTGGCGACAAGTGAACAGCAAGCCTGCAGGCCCAAACCACATAAACCCCAGCTAAGAGTTAATTCAACGCTTTGGAACTTGCAGGTCCTTGTTTAGCAGGTTGAAGATCTACAAAGGCTCCCTCTGTTCAAGAGAAAGTCTGTTACCTTTCACAGACCGCTATTAAAGCGAGACTTTCACCAATTACAAAAGCTCCATTACATATTGTACCTACAGAATAAATCACCTACCTCTGTCCCTCTAGAGAGGAGCTCTCTGACAAAAGGAAAGACTCCCAAAATTATGTCTATGCCACTGTTATCTGCGAAAATTAAGGCACATTTATGAGGGGGACCCTCCTGCAAGAGAAAACCAGTTTATTTAAGTTCACAGTGTGTTTCAATGAATATTTGTTTTGTCTAAAGCCTTTTATTATTTTACTTCACTTAACTTCAAGCTCTATTGCTACATTATATCTAAATTGCCAATTAACAAACACACCAAATTGCAGCAGCTTTGAGGAGGAGGAAAAGTACTCCAGAGGCTTCTGAATAGTAGGTAGTTAGGCCTATATTCCTAGTGTCTGGCAGCTCGGTTATGACTAGCATTTTGTTACTCCAAGCAGCTGTTATCTGAAAAATACCAGTCTCTAAAATAGAAGCAGCAGGAGCCTGAGACAGCTGTCTAGGTCTTGCAGGAACAGGCTGGGTGTCAGGACAGATGGAGGAACAACCTAGAAATACATTTGGGGTCAAGTTTTCAGAAGTGTAGGTCTAACTGTATAGAAATAAGTGCTCTTATAAAGAATAGACACATGGTTGTTAGAAAAGCTTTGATAGCAGCCCCAYTGCAAATACTGCACTTTGTGAGGGTACTGAGCTACGGAGCTTGGCAAGCATGAAATGCTGGCTTAATGCATTTTAARTTGCCTGAACAGAGTTCTAACTGTTAAATTCCTTACTTTAGAAATATGACAAGATTATAATGTTGTTTTATGACCAACATATGTCTTTAAGTAATATTTAGTAAAACTAGCACAGCCCTACCTTCAGTCGCTCCAGCCACTGACTGTAGGAATCTTCTAACCAGGGACGTTCTGCATCAAACACAAAAGTTTGTTAGCATTAGACAAACAACCATCCAGTACACTACAGGGGCAGGGGGGAAATAAACACACAATTTTTTAAAAACAAGATATCTAAGCATTAAAGGATCTGCACTCGGGACCTGAACACTTAACCTGCATATTCTGGGATATCCTAAGCTCCCAATTATGGAATAGCTCAATTACAGCCATCTTCAAAAGGAAATGTTTATAATAAAGCCATAAAGTCATGCAGGACACCTATTATTACTGGTCCTTGAAGGGCTCCTGTTGTACCTATGGGACACTATTGCCTTGACAGGATCAGAACAATTATCAAAAATAGAAAAATGGCAAGATAATTCAAAATATCTCCCAGGCCAATATGTATACAAGGAAAGTGGTTTTCAGATTTCAGCTTCATTGGAACACAAGTAGCAACACCTCAGTGAAACTCTGTAACCCTGGGTACTAACAATTTCTTGTCATGTGGGCAGCAGAAGTATTATTCATCACCTTCACACTCACTGCTATTCTCCTATTAACAAAATTTCCAGTTCCAATCACCATAAGTCTATTTCCCCATACCTTGCAGTTTTGACTTGGCTTCTTCAAATCCAAACTGTGGCTCAGATTCCAGAACACTGTATCAGAAGAGAAATAAATGGTACATAGTTAAGCAACTTCATCGCACACAAAGGGAACATTCAATCATTTCTTTAGCCCATGGCCAGCAATTTTACCACATCACGTGCAGTACAGAGCTGGGATAGGCCCAATAAACAAACATATGACAGACTATGTTTTATGTTATCTAGGTATTATGTTTATGATTGTTTTGTAAAAAGAAAAGGTTCAGATATACATTGAACCAGAAAGCTTTTATGCTAAAATAAAAGTTTTGGCAACATACAGCTGTTTGCAGGCACTAGGTAGTTGGCAAACAGAAATATAAGTCTTTTCGATCTGCAGCTCACCAGAAGTRTAAGTCATGGTGTGAAGTATCTGCATGGTAAAACAGTGCTTTACAAAGTCTAATTTGAAAACTGGTTTAGAGAAAGTTTTTTTTTTCCTCTCTCTCTCTGTAGTATCTGTAAAGGAGGGTAGGAAAGGGGGAATTGAGAGGGGAAGATTTTAAAATAAATAGATACTGGTCTTAAAATGGTACTGTTCCTGGCAACATGTATTACAAAGTAGCCTCAAACAGGCCCGTGGTGATGCAGGAAGATACAAAGAGGGCTGAACTCCTGGCTGCCCATCAAGGTATTAAGCCACACCGCCTGGCTTCAAGAAATAGACTCTTCCTCCTGCAGTCTGCGAGCAATGCTTGCCAATCAAGTCAAAAACCAGAACGGGAAACAAAGTGCTTTGTGTCAGCTTCAAAAGAGCACCCCTGCCTTGGATCTATATTAACAGCTTGCAAAAAAAGGGGGAATTCTAGAGCGGAAAATAAAAAAAGCAAAAATATTTCAAGACTTGATATTTCTATGACTAAAATTAGGACTACTGATGGAATCTATAAGGAAAAGGGAGTCCTCCAAAAGGTAATAAAAAGTATGTTAATCAAAACAATATTTAATCATTATAGAAGACCATCGAACTTACAACATATATGGGGGGTTAATTGTCAGTTACAAATAACATATTTGGTATATCATAGAAACATGGTACCAGATTAAATAGAGCACATACCCCAAAGCCGTGCTTAACAATGTCTACTACAAGCAAAGCAGCCAAATTATTGATAAATGCTGTGCTCTTAAATTCAACATTCATGTTGAGGTGTTTTCCACACTTAAAGGGTGGAAATGATGAAATTTGCTCCGGCACAACACTTGTAAATAGACAACCAGCAACTGACRAAGGTGAAATACAAACTATAATTAAAATTAGACTGGTGCACTTAAAAACAATTGGATATTTTGTGTCTTAAAATATTTAACACCTACTCTGAGACTGCCTTTGCTCCCCAGTCAAAGACATTCCCCGCAAGAAGTCCTTTCAC